AGCCTGCCTAGTGCTGAGATTCCAGGTGAGCACTACCATGCCCAGCTGATTTCATCTTTAATTGAGGTTCAGATGGGAGCCATTTATCCTAGGAGGTCCAAGGGCAGAGAAAAAAGAAATAAGTAGCTAGAAAACTATTTTTATTTTTTCAATATGTTTTTAAATTATAATTTAGTAAGTGCTTTTGTTTGTTTGACTTTAAAATAAACACTGTCTCTCAGTGTGTTCTTAGAAAGGACTAGAAGGTTTTCAGGACAGTTCTTTCTAATAAGAAGAGCTTCCAAGCTGTATAGTAAGGATCTTCAAAAAGTATATTGGAACGCAAACTTGTAGTACACAGGGGCTTTTTGTTTTGTTTTGTTTTTTCATTTGTTTGTTTTATGTATTTGGTACAGGGTCTCACTACACAGCTTGGACTCAGTGATCCTTCTGTTTTCAGCCTCCCCAGCTCTAGGAATACTGGCGTGCACCATCACGCCCAGTCTCGGTGGCCAGCTCAGCCCACCTGGGGACAGAGTACACAGGTTTATTATACATGTAAAATGAGTAGATGATTTTCCTTACATGGGCCTTAGCATGTTCTTGTGGCCCTACAGGTAATGCACATATTTTTGAAGCACTCATTTCAACAAATTCTCACATAGAGCCTGGCCCTTACAATTCAGAATACTAAACTTCGCATAAAATGTATGTAATCGTTATTTCCACTAATAAATGAGACTTACATGGTTTTCCTTTTTTAAGCCAAGTTTTTAAAAAATAAGATTTGAATGTAGATGGTGGAGTAGATTTCTCCATCCCTGTAATATTGCATCTCAAACAAGCCTAGGTTAGACTTAAAGAAAGGCAGCTTGTCTTGTAAATGCTTGAGCTTTCTGCAGTAGTACAGAGTTTGGTGTTCCACAGACCTATTTTGCACCCTGGAAGACTTCAGGAGAGCATTGTAGATGGGCTAGAATAGTGTCGTGAAGAGAGTAAGGTATAAGACAGAGTCCTGTATCTTATGCAGTGTAGATTTTGAAGCTGTAAATTCAATAGCAATGATAATAAGTAATAATAATTATTATAACAGCATCTGGACTATCTGAGCACTCCTGTATACTGGGCTCAGTGCCAAATACTTAATTATATCATTGAATCCTGACAATAACCTCGTTAAAGAACTATCTTAGAGTCACACAGCTTGAAGGGAAAAAAACAGGCCTTGATATTCAGGTCCTTCAGACTTCGGAGCCATACGCAGCCACCTTGTGCCACCTCTCAGGTTCTGGTTATGCCACTTACTCAGAAGAGCTCTGCATGTGTGCCAGTCACACCTCAGTCTTAGTTTCCTTGTCAGCAAAGTGGGCCCACTCCATGGAACTGTGAGACTTCTCCATCTACGTAATGTGTGTTATTAATATAACCTATATTAAAATAGGCTATCAGCTGCTATAGTACATCATTCCTGACGTTTTTAACATGTTCTCTGTGTGTATCTTTTTCAGCAACTCCATTCAAGCGTGAGAACAGGGAATCTTGAAACCTGTCTGAGACTGTTATCTTTAGGAGCCCAAGCCAACTTCTTTCATCCTGTAAGAAAACATGGATTGATTCAGATATTAAGTTGACACTGATTGTGTTCATGTAGCCTTTAATTTGTTTTCTGTTTTGTTTTGGTTTTTTGCTCTTTATTAATGCTTCTTAGGAAAAAGGAAACACACCACTCCATGTTGCCTCCAAAGCAGGGCAGATTTTACAGGCTGAATTATTGGCAGTATATGGAGCAGACCCAGGCACACAAGATTCTAGTGGGAAAACTCCTGTTGATTATGCAAGGTGAGAATCTGAGACACTTGCTGCTTCTTGTTGGTTGTTAGGTAGCTAAATCATGTGTGGTTTGTGCTTAACCCTTATTATTATTCGTATTGTGGGGGGGTACTAAGATCAAACTTGGGACCTGTACTTGCCAGGCACGTGCTTATACCACTGAACTATCTCCCCACCCAGTGCTTACCCCTTTTTAAGATTTACATTCTTTTGTCTCTCTCTCTCTCTCTTTTTTTTTTTTTTTTTTTTTTTTTTTATCTTTTTGAGACACAGTCTCACTATGCAGTTCAGGCTGTCCTTGAACTCAGTAATCCTCCTGCCTCAGCCTCCCAAGTGCTGGGATTACAGGCATATGCACCTACTATGCACCTATTCTATTATTTTGCAAATGAATATATTTCAAATGTATAGAGCTTGAATACATTTCTAGCTCAGCCAGGCAAAATTTAGGGAAAGGTAGAATTATAAACCACTGTGCTTAGCTTCCAAAGGCTCTTTCACTTGATCCTTTTTTTTTTTTGGTGGAACTGGGGATTGACCTCAGGTCCTTGCACTTGCCAGGTAAACACTTAATCTACTGAGCTATCTCCCTGGCCCATCACTTGATCCTTATAACACAGGTATTTGAGACAGTCACAATACAAATCAAGTATCAAGAATCACAGAACCTGCTTTTCAGTTTTATAATACTCTTAGTCATTGCTTGAACTTAAAAACAAGTCTATAAATAGATATGATTAAATAAGTGTAGTAAATTGTTAATTATAAGTTTAGAAAGTGGACATCTGGATGCTTTTTGTACAATTTGTAAAATTTTTCTTTTTATGTATTTTTTTTTTAGATGTAGTCTTAAGTGTCCAAGACCCTGGCTCAAGCAGTCTTCCTGCCTCAGCCTCTGAGATGCTAAGGCTGCTTAGCATGAGCCAACATGCCCAGCTAAGTTTTTCTGTATTTGAAAGTTCTAACCATAAAAAATACTGGGAAAATAAGTAAACCCATAGATTAGTCTTGAGTTCTCTAAATGACAGAAAACCAATCATCTTTCCTTTTTTTCTTTTTTCTTTCTTTTTTTTTTTTTTGTTTGCGGTACCAAGGATTGAACTCAGGACCCTGCGCTTGCCAGGCAGGCGCTTATTCTACTGAGCTATCTTCCTGGCCCTTTCTTTTTTTTTCCAAAATCTCTTTTTATTTACCGCAGAATCCCATGCCCTGCTACACATAAGATAAAAATGGTGAAATGACAGAATGCTATCCTCCCAGAATTTATCTCTTGGAAGAAATGACTCACATATGCCTAAAAAGGTTAAATGGAGCAAGATAGCATATGATTCAGACAGTTGGTCTTAAAAAACATGTGTAAAGTTTCTTTGTTGTGACCCAAATCATTGGGAAATTTCTTTTTTTTTTTTTTTAATTTTTATTTATTTATGTGTGTGTGTGTGTGTGTGTGGCCAGTTCAGCCCACCAGGGGGCGGGGCTGGCTGGCATTTGGTGCTGGGGGATTGAACCGCGGTCCCTGTGCTTTGCTAAGCTTGTTCTAAGTAGGTGCTTTAGACCACTGAGCCATCTTACCAGCCCCGTGGGAAATTTCTTTAGTTCCTTGAAGAATAAGTTAGTGGCTGTCGAGATAGCTCAGCAGACTAAGTACCTGTTTAGCAAGTGCAGGGACCAGGGTTTGATCCCTGGCACCGCATGCTGCTCCAGCCCCGTCCCTGGACACATTGAGCCGGTCACTGAGACTGAGCATGGTGGCACACACCTGTAATCCCAGCATTGGAAAGGCTGAAACAGGAGGATCACTATGAGTCCAAGCTAAATAGTGAGACCCTGCACCAAATACATTAAAAAAAAAGAAGAAGAATAGCTTAGATGGGACCTCTGCAGAAGGAACGAAAGTATTCCAGGCAAGAGGAAAGGCAGGCAAGGTGAGGAGTCAGTGTGGACACATATCCAGCACAGCAGGGAATCAGATTGGAGAGAGCTGAGCTTGCTGAGAATGACAGCAGGAGTCCACTATTCCATCAGATCTGAGCCTGCGTTGATTGTACAGTGCGTCATTATTTCCAGCAGCGTTAGAAAAGCTCTGTTAGTTAAATTATAATTTCACAAATGTTTTAAAAAATGTGCATGTTAAAAATCAAAGACCTATGGTGGTTGGTGGATAAGTAATAGTACCTTTAATGGTGGGAAGAAAAGCTGGCTGAAACTAGATTTGACCTTTGAAGAGGCGAAGAGCCCACAGTAAACACGTTATCATTTACTTTGGAATTTCCTTTTATATACTTTACATATGATAGTCTCTCCACATAATCATTTCTCTATATGCCTTGTTACCAAAAGGACTCCAAATAGCGTAAATATTTATTTCATGAATGAAGAAAGGAAAACTATATTTCTGCTATAGAAATTGGAAATAGAGGAAGCAGGATAAAGTGTGGTTGCGCATGGCTGTAACCCCAACACTGGGGAGCCTGAGGGAGGATGAGTGCTATGAGTTCAAGGCCAGCCTGGGCCACATAGTGAGTTCAGAACTAGCAAAACTACACGGCAAGACACTATCTCTGAAAATGAAAACAAACCCCACCAAAAAAAGAAGAGAGAATATCTACAGGTATAAGCTCTGCATTAGGTGGGTCTGTCTATGAATTGAGCCCCTTGAGGTTCTATAGTTTCTAAAGTTACCCAGAGACAGTCTCACTGTACCATAATCATCTAGGGGTTTGCAGAATGCTGATGCCTGGGCCCCCCCATCCTTACTGATTGAGGCCTGCAAATTTTATATTTCTGGAAACATCCTCAGCTGCTGTGATCCTCTACCTTCATTTTATCTTTTCACCTCATAGTTACTCCTTATCCTTCGTAAGTCTTTGAATGTCTTACAAAGTTACTAAATTATTCTACTCTGTATGTTTGTAAGGAAAAGGGATAATTCCAATTGTAAAAAAAGTGTAGGGACCGGGGAGATGGCTCAGTAGAATAAATGCTTCCCTGACAAGTGCAAGGGCCTAAGTTCAATCCCCGGTTCTGTGGGGAAAAAAAAAAAAAAAACGTTTATAAAAGTGAGACTCAAGGTAGATCTTGACAATCTGCCTCACACAGAGAGGTTGATTATTCTGAAAAACCATGTTTGATACACTGCTCAGGTGTCTCAGGGGATGTCTTTGTACTTTTCTGTTCTAAAGCCTGTGAACAGTGAGTGGTATCAGTGGTACTTTGTTCTCTTGTTAGGCAAGGAGGGCATCATGAGCTGGCAGAGCGCCTTGTGGAAATACAGTATGAGCTGACTGACAGACTGGCCTTCTATCTCTGTGGCAGGAAACCAGGTGAGTGAAAAGACAATGACTGAGCACACCACCTCCAGTTTGGAAGGTTCTGGAAAAACAAGTTGGAACACTTCTTTTTTAAAAAATGACTTCCTCTGCTTTAATATAGCCTCAAGAAAATTGTGACTGCTGGGCATGGTGGCACATGCTTATAGTCCCACCACTCCTATAATCCCAGCACTCAGGAAGCTGACGCAGGAGGGTTGCTGAGTTCGAGGCCAGCAGGGTTTACAAAGTTGAGTTCAAGACTAGACAGAACTACAGTGAGACCCTGTCTCGAAAAACATACAGAAAATTGTGACTAAGGATCTTTATTTGAAAGGTTAACTGGAGAACTTTAATTGTATATAAATATAAAGTTGATCATATCTCTTTTTTTTTGCTAATTTTTTAGGGAAGGGTCTACAGGGTATTTAAGGTCTCACTACTAGATCGGACTCGTAGTGATCCACCTGTTTACAACCTCCCAAAAGCTGTAAACTTTATAGGCACACACCATGATGCCCAGTCTCAATTGCTGTCTCAGTGTGCCCCGGGGGCGGGGCCAGTACAGTAGGCCAGTGCATCAAACCCCAGCCTCTGCGTTGGCTTGCAGACGCTTTAATCCGCTGAGCGATTTGGCTGGCCCTAAAGTTGACATATCTTGAAATTTCAGTTTTTAAGTTTTTATTTTAACTGGTAGATGCTTCATGAATTGAAGAACATAACTGAACCAACGCTGAAATGTATGGTATAGTTCTTGACTATCATGAAACTAGTCATGGAAAGAAAAAGCAAGAACTGGGGGCCCAGCCCTAGCTCAGTTCTTTAAGTGGCTGCTTCCACAATGCTGGCAGCCTCGGGTTGCTGTAGTTCGATCCCAACAACACTCCAGCCATGCCAAAGTGTCCTGAAGGCATTCAAGGAGAAAAAAAAAAAAAAATTCCTTAGAAAAAGCAGGAACTTCTATAATTATTTGAAGAGTTTTGCTATCTAATAATGGGGGAAGCCCTTTGCCTTTAACCAGCCTTATTTGTGAAGTGGTGGAGGATTCTCAAAACCATGGTCTGTGAGCCAAATGCAGCCTAACAGCTTTTTTATTGAATAAACTTCTATGGTAAGCCCGCCATGCCTCCTCACATATGTCCTGTACATGGCTGCTTTCCCACAACAATGGCAGAGTTGGATAGGTTGAGTGGTTTCCACAGTCACAAAGTCTGAGATGTTTACTGCTCAGCCCTATCCACAGCAAGTTTGTTTGCGAATCCTTGCTGAGTAATGTCCACATGCACGTACACCATTGTTCTCTACCTGGGTAGAGCTGTGGGCCTCCACTGTTCCGGTTCTGGGTAAGATGGAGTAAACACAGCCAACCTCCTGCCGAATGGAGCTGAAAACTCTGTACCAAGTGTTGTTGTTAGTTCTCTCAGGACTTTGCAGAGTAAATCCTAACTCATGAATTAAGAAACTTGAAGGCCACCCAGCTGATGGTGAGTCTTAACAATTTTATTTCTGATACGGATTCAGTGGGAGTCTGAGATCTGGAACTACAGCACAGATTAAAGAACCTTTCTCTTTCTAGTTTACAGAACAGGAAATGAGACTCTTCAGGATAGAGAATAGGGGAGTTCCCCTGGGGTTTTCTCCTCCTTCCTTTTTCTGCTTATTCTCATCCTAGACCTGAGACCAGCCTGTGGCTGTTGTAATGGCAACAGCAATAGCAACGTAGGTGTCTAACTGTCTGACCATGGGCACGAGGGCATTTGGATTGCTTTTCTTTTACTGCCTGTTCTCTTGCCTCCTGCCCAGCGGACAAAACCCAACCTGCAATACAAAAATACCTGCTAAAGCATGTTAGCATTTTCTAGCATTTAAAGAAGCCTGAGTCTTACCACATATATTCAGAATATCATTGGTACCATCTAGAATGTCTCAACATATGAAGAACCAGGAAAAGCTCATGGACTTGCAAGAGGAAAGTAGTCAGCAGATGCTAACCCCAAGGTGACATGGATGTTGGAATTCTCAGACAAATATTTTAAAATAGGTACTAACACGATGCTCATACAAATAAGAATGAACTTTTTTTTTGGTTGCACTCAGGATTCAACCCAGAGTCTTGCACTGAGCAAGACTTTTTTTTTTTTAATGTATTTGGTACAGGGTCTCACTATGTAGCTCGGACTTTTAGTGATCCTCTTGTTTCAGCCTCTCCAGAGCTGAGATTACAGGCCTGTGCCACCACGCCCAGTCTTGGTGGCCTGCTCAGCATACCCCGGGCAGGGCCAGCATAGCATGTGGTGTCCCTAGCCCTTTTTTTTTTTTTTTTTTTTTTGGCCTTATTTATTTATTTTTGAGCTAGGGTTTATGAAATTCAGGCTGGCCTTGAACTCACTTTATAGCCCAGGCTGACCTTGAACTCACAGTGATCCTCCTGCCTTAGCTTCCATAATACTGGGATTACAGGCTTGGTCATGCACCACTATGCCCAGCCTTATTTTTAATTTTGAGATATGGACTTGCTAAGTTTCCCAGGCTGGCCTTAAACTTGAAATCCTTCTACCTCAGCTTCACCTGGGCCTGAGATTATAGATATGTGCTACCATACCTAGCTACAAATATTCTTTTTTTTTTTTTTTTTTTATGTATTTGGTACAGGGTCTCACTATGTAGCTCAGACTTTTAGTGATCCTCTTGTTTCAGCCTCTCCAGCGCTGAGATTACAGGCCTGTGCCACCACGCCCAGTCTTGGTGGCCTGCTCAGCACACCCGGGGCAGGGCCAGCACAGCATGTGGTACCAGGGATCGAACCCGAGTCCTTGTGCCTGCCTAGGCAGGTGCTTAGACCACTGAGCTATCTCTGTGGCCTGAAGTAAATGTTCTTGAAACAAGTAGTATAGAAAATCTTAGCCAAAAAATAGAAAACACAAAAATAACCTAATAAGATCATTGGAACTGAAAAATGCAATAACTAAAAATTTAAAATTCACTGGATAGGATTGATAAAAATAAAAATAAGGTTAAAAATAACAAGTCAGTGAATAGAAAATGCATCATTAGAAATCATCCAGCTTGAGCAACAGGAAAAAGAGTAGAAGGGAAATACCAGGAGTTCTGCCATTTGTATTGCTGGACTTAGGAGTAAGGGTGTGATGTACACATAAACATTTGACAAAATACTGGCCAAAAATTCTAGATTTTTCAAAAGACAAAAGGATTCAAGAAGCATGGCAGGGGGCCGGGAGATGGCTCAGTAGAATAAGCATTTGCCTGGCAAGCGCAAGGACCTGAGTTCAATCCCCGGTTTTGCAAAAAAAAAAAAAAAAAAGAAGAAGCATGGCAAACACCAAAGAGGGTGAACCCAAATTCACTTTCAATACTCATCATGCTGCTGAACACTAAAGTTGAAGGAAACATCTTAAACGCACCAAGAAAAGAAAAATTGCCACACAATAAATGTTGAGGGCTGGAGAAATAGCTCAACAGCATAAGTGCCTGCTTGGCAAGCACAAGGTCCTGAGTTTGATCCCTGGTGGCAAAAAAAAGCTCGCCACAATAAATGGTGGCTATCCTTCATACAAAATGCTTGGGGGCTGGTGAGATAGCTCAGCAGTGTAAAGCTCCTGCTTAGGCAAGCTTAGGCAGGCGCAGGGGCTGCCGTTAGATCTCCAGCACCACATGTCTCACCAGCCCTGCCCTTAAGGCGGACTGAGCCGGCCAAAAATAAAAAATGCTTGAGACCAGAAGTGTTTCAGATCTTGGAGACTGGGGGAGTTTGGGGTATTTACATGGCTTACCTATTAACCATCCCTAATTGAAAATAAGCTGAAATCCCAAACTTTTTGAGCATCATGGTGGTTCCCTGGTTCTTATCAGAAGTTATAGAGATGACAAGAATTTCATTTTCTTCAATATTTTTCATATACTGGGGGTGGGGGGGAGGGAGGAAGGACCGGCAAGACAGCTCAGCAGAAGGCTGGGAAGATGGCTCAATAGAATAAGCGCTTCCCTGGCAAGCGCAAGGGTCTCAGTTCAATCCTTGGTTCCGAAAAAAAAAAAAAAAAAAGACTGCTCAGCAGACTAAGCACGTGCATAGGCAAACTTAAGAGACTGGGGTTCAATCCCCAGTGCCACATGCCACATCAGCCCCATCCCTGGGCACGCTGAGCCAGTCACCAAGACCAGGAATGGTGGCACACGCCTGTAATCCCAACACTGGAGAGGCTGAAAACAGGAAGATCACAAGTCTGAGCTGCATGGTGAGACTCTGTCCCAAATACCTTAAAAAAAAAAAAGCAAAACTTCTCAGTCTAGAACTTTATATCTAGCAAAAATAACCTTTGGAATGAAAGCAAAATAAAGACATCATAGGTGGAAGAAAAACAAGAGAGTTCAGTGCTCTAACAGAAATTCTACCTGACAAGCACAAGCTCCTGAGTTCAATCCCCAGTACTGCAAAAAAAAAAAAAAAAAAAAAAAAAAAAAGAAAAGAATTCTTTGCAGAAGAATATCTGACAACATCTTGTAACTTCAGGAATGTAGGAAGAACTATGGAAGTAATACAGATAATAGTTTCC